AAAGAAAAAAAGAACTCAGTGTATATACATACATAAGCGGACATTTACAGGCAAAAGGAGACTGAATTTTGTTCTGCAGCTACCAACTTGCCCAACCTTTTAATTCAATAAATTCAAACTTTTTTTTCTGATTGTTTGCTATATACACGAACAGGTATCACAGGAACTGTGTTTACTATAAACACATATATGCATTACACACAACCACATATATGTATACATCCATACTTTTTTCCCCAAAGAGAAACAGCGAATTATGTGCCTCAAGGCCTTCAGTGTATATTAAAAGAAAAAACGAACAAAATCTTAAGGAGATAGCACTTCACAGTTCAGAAAAGTGCAAAAACCATTCCAACGTACTTCAAAAGGCCACGGCTGAAAGTTTATCTTAAACGATATTCTAGAAAATACCCTCAAATTACAGCAAGTCATAATATGCTAATCACAACCGGTTTACCTGAGCGTCCTGCGCCTCTCTCTCTCGCATCTGCAGGCACTGGGAACGAAACACCTTCCAGCTTCGGGGTAAAAAATAAATGGCAGTGAGGCTCCAAAGCTGACCACCAGCCAGCGGGCCAGCCCTATCCGGTATGACCGGTGCGGCCCCCAGCTCCCGCCCACTCGGCATAAAACCCCGAGGCAGCTCGGAACTTCCCCGCCTACCTGCGCGTCCCGCCGCTGCCGCACCTGGGAAGGGGGCAAGCGAACACGTGCAGTAGCCGGTGAAACGGGGAGCCTTCCAGCGGACAGTACACCTGCACGACCAGGGCAAGAGGCTGCCTGCAACGTTCACACACTGGCCTCGGCGCTGCTACCGCCGGCAGGGCGTCCTGAGGGCAGGGAAGCGCTCAGACTCCGGCTCTGCTCAGGGACCTCGCCCCCTCCCTCAGCCCGCAGCCCTCACCAGCACCCGCCGACCCCGGCCCGGGCGCTCCACCTCACCGGAAGGCCGCCCAGCTTGCTAGCAGTCCAGGCGCCCGGCCCCGTGGGGCGGCCGTGCACTGCAGTGTCTCGAAGTCCGAGCAGCACGGGCTTCCGAAAAGCCGCCATGACGACGAGGCACCCACGTGGAAAGGAGAACTACGGTGGCCGAGGCGGTGCGCCTCTGCGCGCACGCGCACCGGCTACACCTGCGAGACGGCCCCGCCCCCTTGAGATTATGCTTGGGAGGATTAGGTCCCCTGAGCTGAGCGGGGCTCAAAATCCGGCAGCCCCAGACATTCTGTGCCTCCGAATGCGCCGAGGTAGGAAGTACGCACCATCTGGTATGAAGTAGTCTTGCCAAAAGATTTTTCCTGAAGTGGAATAATAGTATTATCGTTAAGACAAAAAAAAGTTTTGATTTTTACAGGTACACGTCAAAATACTTAGAGGAAATTGCGGAGGGGGCCATGAGTTGGTAACTTGAAATTTGGCGTCAGACACAGATCGTTGACTTTTAGATGTTTGAGATTTTCCATAAGGGAATTTTTTTTTTTTTTTTTAATGCCTGTGGCACAACCTAGGTGAATTTTGAAAACAAACAAAAGGCCAAGTTCTGGAAAAGGTGAACTTCAAAGAAGGAAATCAGATCAATTGTCAGGGTTTGGGTTCAGAGGGTAGGGATTGACCACAAAGGGGTGCCAGGAATCTATCTCTTCAGGTGATGAAAATGCTGTATATCTCAACTGTGGTGGTTATGTGACTTATACATTTGTCAAAACTGAAAACCGCACCCCAAAAGAAGATGCGTTTTTCTGTATGTAGATTATACCTGAACCTGATTTTTTAAAAAAATGCAGATTTCGGGGCACCTGGGTGGCTCAGTCTTTGAGCGTCTGCCTTCGGCTCAGGTCATGATCCCGGGGTCCTGGGATCGAGCCCCGCATCGGGCTCCCTGCTCCGCGGGAGGCCTGCTTCTCCCTCTCCCCTTCCCCCTGCTTGTGTTCCCTCTCTGGCTGTCTCTATCTGTGTCAGATAAATAAAATCTTAAAAAAAAAATGCAGATTTCAAAGGCACTCTTGCAGTCTTCATACTATAGTGTGCAAAGGAAGTGTATGTTTTCAAGGACACCTTCAAGCAGGATATAAATGCCTCATGATGTTTGGCTCCAGCCCCAGCACAGACCTGGAGATGAAACCAGTTTGCTACTGGTTTATCACTGCCAATCTGCTTTAAAAGCTTTAGAAGGCACTGTGAAGTCTGACCTTGGTGTTCATTTCAGGTCTAGCCAAAGAGGCTGGATGAGTTGGCAGATACTTGTTATTTTAGCTATGTTTCCCAAGATATATATTTTTGGTTATGGCAAAAAGAAACAAACTTCAAAACTGGTATTCTTGCTACCACAGCAAGACATCTTCCAGCAGTTACTGAGCTTTTTCCATCATCAGTCACCTGTTTATATAACACTACTGACTACAACCACTTGATCAAACTGTGATCACAGCATGAAGGCTTATTACCTAAGATGAATTTTCAAGATGTCAATTGCTGCCCCATTCTGGAATTCCAGAGGCAATATAACATCAAATTTGAAACTGACGTCATTGGGGCACCTGGGTGGCTCAGTCGTTGGGTGCCTGCCTTCGGCTCAGATCATGATCCCAGGGTCCTGGGATCGAGCCCCGCATCGGGCTCCCTGCTCTGCGGGAAGCCTGCTTCTCCCTCTCCCACTCCCCCTGCTTGTGTTCCCTCTCTCGCTGTGTCTCTCTGTCAAATAAAAATCTTAAAAAAAAAAAGAAACTGACATTATTGTGGGGTCCTTGGAACAGTGTTAACAAAAAGGTCTTGGCATGTGTGAGATTTGAAGCATTCCACTTAATGATTTTATAGGGTTTGGACTTCCCTGGCAGTCACACAAATCAAGTTGATAGTATTTATGTATGTATGCATGTATTCCCTGCCCCCAAGGTGGGGCTCGAACTCATGACCCAGAGATCAAGGGTCGCGTGCTCCAGTGACCTAGCCAGCAAGGTGCTCCCAGTTTGTATTTATTTGAGCAAGTACAGAATGAAGACTTTGAAGGCTGCTTGAATCTCACACTGAAGAGTTCTTCGTGACAGTTAATTTTACCAACTTAACTGGGCTAGGAGGTGCCCAGATAGCTGGTAAAACATTATTTCTGGGATTGTCTGTGAGGGTGTTTCCAAAAAAGAATAGCATTTGCATCAGTAGACTGAGTAAAGATCTGCCCTCACCGGTGTGGGTGGGCATCACCCAGTCTGTTGAGGGGCCTAAGAGAACAAAAAGGTAGAGGAAGGGTGAATTCTCTTTCTTCTTCAGCTGGGACATCCATCTTCTGCCCTCAGACTGAAACCTACCTGCCCTGGTTTCCCTGGTTCTCCAGCTTGTGGTAAACAGCATATTGTGGGACTTCTCAGCCTCCATAATCAGGTTTGCCAATTCTCGTAATACATCCCCTCACACATATCTGCATCCTACTGGTGATATTTCTCTGGAGAACCCTAAATAATACACTGTTCAAGAACTCACAACCACTGGTAGCCATAGGACAAGGGGAAGCCACAAGGGAGGATAGTGGTGGTGGTGGGGGGAGGAGAGCAAGGCAGGGCCAAGGGACATGTGGCCATCTTAACTGACATGGGCAAGTTCCTTCTGCATAAAGCACGACAGGAGACTTGGCGGCTGGCCTAGAGGAGCAGTGGTCCCACTCCTAAGAGATCCTTCATGTGAAGCCAAGTTAGCCTGGAGGGGCTCTGCCACCTAGAATTTTTCTCTCTAGACTTTTTTCGTGCTTGCTCTTTTGTAACAGAGGAGATGCCTCTGATGAGAAAAGACCTTCCCATTTCATCAGTTACGTTAAGAAAGCACGTGGGTTGGGATGCCTGAGTGGCACAGTCAGTTAAGCAACTGACTCTTGGTTTTGGCTCAGGCTGCGATCTCAGGGTTATGAAGTCAAGTCCTGCGTTGGGCTCTGTGCTCAGCACAGAGTCTGCTTGAGTTTCTCTCCCTCCCTCCTGCTCTCTCTCAAATAAACAAATCTTAAAAAAACAAAACACACAAAAAAACTAAAGGAGGTCGGTTGCCAGGAGCCTCAACAGAGCCTGACTGTCAAAAAACATCTTTACATCACCTCTACCAAAGTGGGAAGTGGGCATTCACTTTTGGAATTTAAAAAAGGCAAAACAAACAAACAATAGAGAAGTGCTAACAATTTCTGAGTATCATTTTAAGCAGACATTTGCACCTGTATGGTCACTTTCTGTAAGTAGGACATTCCTCCCTTTGAACCTCCATGGGTGCAGTTTGCCTTCTCCTTATGGGAGCAAAAAATACAAATCCTGGCTTTTCTTGTCTTGAGGAAGGCACATGACCAAGCCAGAGTACAACCCATAAGTGGGCGACCCAGGAAAGAATGGGGTGAAGGCAGCTGTGACGACAGAGTCGGGGACAGCAGGGCTTTGTGAAAGGGGAGCAGTCTTCCTGTCCAAATTCTGTTATCGTGATCTAGGGTGTAGATCCCGGGAGCTCAGCCTCTAGTCTACCCGTCCATTCTGCTCATTGACTTTTTTAAATAAAATTCCCTTTCTGGCTAGTTGGCCAAAAATATTACTTGGTATCTTGAATAGAAGATAAAAGGGTGGTTTGTTCAAAATCCTTTTTTTCAATATCTGTCTTATAAAAGGAAAGAAGTACCTGAGCATCTGGCCGGAAGATGAGCGTCACCCTTGACCCAGACTGGGTATTCACCCAAAATAAACAATCTAACGCAGCTTTTTAGAACTATCCGGTGAACAAAAGTATGCAATTCCTCCAAAGTCACAGAGGTAAGGAGTGAACAAAGGAGAAGGAATTTGCTTACAGAAGCCAAGTTGCCCCTGTGACGCTGACTGTGCCCCAACCCCCTTCTCCACTCTCTTCTCAAGGGACCGTCCTCCACTCTGGACCTACTCACCACTTGCAGCCAAGCCTCAATCAAGCAAGGCACATCACTCCTACTGAGCACCTAACTCCTGTGTGGAGCACCACTTCTGGAGATGAGAAGAGGCTGAGCCTACAACCTCCTTTGTGGCATCTTTATTTTTCTATCTGGTACATGAACAAAGTGAACATGGTCAGAAAAATCAGCTGCACCGAAACACTTCAGCCGATTGTAAAACAGAGGGCACGTGGACATGGAAGGGCAGGGTGGCAATTCCAGACTAGCTTCCCCCAAAGGGCTTATGCTCCAAGCCTGCAACCAGAGGCTGCTCTGGGCAGGACTGTGCAGTGCATCTCTGGGGAGGAGCGACAAGAAGGACCAGTCACAACAGGGACTGCAGCCGGGCATGAGTTTATTAGCTTCTGGCCTCACGCTCCTGCTTGATGAAGTTGATGAGCCCATTGGTGGAAGAGTCGTGAGAGGTCACTGGGCTACTGCCGTCAAGCTCAGGCTCGATTTTCTTGGCCAGCTGCTTTCCCAACTCCACCCTGCCAGGACAAGGAGAAAGATGGTTAAGAGGAAGGTTCCAGCATCACGAGTGAAATCCACAAGCCAACCCATAGGCATTCCCTCCCCTCCCCTTGAGGAGCAGCAACTCACCCCCACTGGTCAAAGCTGTTGATGTCCCAGATGATACCCTGAACGAAGATCTTGTGCTCGTACATGGCTGTAGGGGTGGCAGATGGGGCACATTAGGGCTTGATCGGCTTTATCCAACCTACCCCAGGCCAGGACCTTCCCCGCTCACTCACCAATCAAGGCTCCCAGAATGAATGGCGTGAGCTTGGTGAACACAATAGAGTTGGTTGGCCGATTTCCTTCAAAGACCTTTAGAAAACACCCAGGAATGTCCCCCGGTTAGTCATCACCCCCAAATCCTCAGAAGGGATGTGCACCCTACCCCAGAGGCTGGGATATGCCTATCTGTAAGGACAGTCCCTCCTACTGGGTAGGACAAGCCAGGCACGCCATGAATCCCTACCCAGACCCCACAACTTTATCCTTCTGACTCCAGGATGCCAGCCAAAGCCCACTTCAGGAGAGGTGCTGACCTTGTGTGGCAACAGCTTCTCCAAGGCCTCTGGACTCTTCCCTGCGGCCTGCAGCTCCTTCCGGGCCTCCTCTGTTGACTTCCCCTTCATCAGGGCCTCCGTCTGGGCCAAAAAGTTGGCCAGGAGGATCTGTCAAGAGAGATACCCGGTTCCACTTGGAAGTCCTGTCTGAGCTTCAGGCAGAGGGGCAAGACTGCCTGGCACTTCCCAGGTGGGGTTAGTCCCAGCCCCCAATGTAGAGCTCAAATGGAGCGAGGCGGGGATGGGAGGGCACATCGGACAACACAGCAAAGTAAGTGGCAATAACTGCCCTTTAAGGGATATGCATGACTTGCCAAGGACCCTGCTAAGAACTTAGCAATGTTTATCTTTTTTTTTATTTTTTTTTAAGATTATTTATTTATTTGAGAGAGAGAGACAGAGAATCCCAAACCGATTCCCAGCTGAGCATGGAGCCTGACTCAAGGCTCCATCTCACGACCCTGAAATCATGACCCAAGCCGAAACCAAGAGTCAGATGCTCAACCGATCGAGCTGCCCAGGTACCCCAACCATATCTATCTTATGGTCTTCCCATCTGCTGCTGTGGTAAGCACCATCTTGGCTCCATGACCTTTGCCCCCTCCCTGCTGTTACATCTGTGTGGGTTACGTTACATGGCAAAGGAGATCTTACAGATGGAATGAAGGTAACAGACCTTGACACAGGGATAGGTGGGCCCAATGTAATCACATGGGCCCTTTGAAGTAGAAGACGAAGACAAATGAGTTGGTCAGAGAGATGCAACAGAAGGGGCAGGACAGAATCGAGGCTGGAGCGGGACTCATCCCACCACTGCCGGGTCTGAGAAGGAAGGCACCACAGGCTAAGGTGGCTTCTTGAAGCTGAGAAACTTAATATAACTGCCAACTAATCCATCAGCTTCTAAGCAGCCTGGGTGAAGGCGAGCCTAAGAAAGTGTGAGGAGAGGCAGGACAAGGCTCTTACCTTGTGATGCAAACCCTTCCTTATCGGGTGCTGGGTCTGGACTGGGATGAGGAAGTCACAAGGTATCATCTTGGTGCCTGTAAAGGGCACAATGGTCACCCAAGCACCTACCCCAGCCCATGGGAGCCACCCGAGGGAGAAGTCTCTGCTGGTGGGCCTTCCACGTCCACAGCAGCACCCCTGCCCAGGCCAGAGGGGCCCTACCTTGGTGAATGAGCTGGTAGAAGGCATGCTGGCCATTGGTCCCTGGCTCCCCCCAAACAATGGGGCCCGTCTGGTGGTCCACACGAGTGCCGGACTTGGTGATGTACTTCCCGTTGGACTCCATGTCACCCTGGAACAGGGACAGAAACCCAGCCCTCTAGCTGAAAGTCTTGCTTTTCTTCATGAACTGTGCCCAAATCCTGCCTGGGATGTAGCACGCATACCTGCCCTGCCTTGTGTGGTGTCCATAGGCAGGACCCTTCTATCTCCCCTCACCTGTGAGGTCAAACTTGGCTAACACTCATCAAACGGACCCTGGTGACAGGGATTCACCCTGAGATTAGAACATGAGTGGGCCTTGGCTGCGCCCAAGGGCAATGGGGGGAGAAAGCCTCTGGAGGGGCAGGAACCTGACCCCAAGGCCTGGCCTGGCAGCTGGTACCTGCTGGAAGTAGGCCGCAAAGCGGTGTAGATACTGGTCATAGGGCAGCATGGCCTGCGTCTCACACCCGAAGCAGTTGATGTACCAGACACCCAGCAGAGCCAGCAGGACGGGGGCATTCTTCTCCAGGGGTGTCGTACGGAAGTGCTGGTCCTGAAACCAGAGCAGGTGGGTGGGAGCTGAGCAGCCGCCCCGGAGGGAAGGACGGAGGGAGCTGGACCAACCAAATGTCTCTGGCAGAGAACACAAGCCTCAGCTACTTACCATCCAGTGGGCCCCTGAGAGCAGCTGCTCGAAGTTGTCAAATCCTGCGACACAAAAGCAGCATCAACAGAAATGATCATGCCCAGTGCTCTCGTGGCAGTGGACACAGCTTCTTTTTGCAACCAAGGAAAAGCTGACGCTGACGTGCAGCCAGAAGAAACAGGACCTGGGAAGAGATGGGCCTACAGAAAGCCTCTCTAACCAGAGTCACCCTTGAGCGCAAAGGCCGATCTAACTTCACCTACCACGGGAAACGACGGGACAGCAGGTGTGAGGGGCAGAGAGAAAGGCCAAACTGCAAACACCAGAGAAAAGTCAGGCCTGCCCTCCCGACCCGAAAGAAATGTTCCAGCCAAAGGGACAGAAGCCAGTGGCCTGTGGGGTCAGAAAGGTGTTCAGGGACATGAGACCCCCATCCCTAACCGAGACTACAACATGGTCTCCTAAGACTAAAACACAAACTCACCCACATGCAGTGCAATGGAGAGTCCAATAGCTGACCACAGCGAGTAGCGTCCTCCTACCCACTAGGAGAGACAGGAAAACGTGCTGAAGAAGGGTTGGCACACCCCGCCCCCCACCCTCCTGCCACAAAACTTGCCCCCTGAGAGCAATGCTCTTCCACAGGTGCAGCATGGAGGGCCTGGGCCCAACCCACCTCTGGGAAGCAAGACAGCAGGCCAGGCGCTGGCAACTCTTTGTGCTGACCAACAGGGCAGACTACGTGGGACTGATCAGAGCCACAAGACTCAACTGAAGACCTTACCATGGCTGGCCCTGTCTCCTCAGACACAGATAGACCCAGTACCTCATACTTGCACCAGGCCCGGCCTCCTCCTCATACAGGCAGACCCAGCGCCTCATACCCACGCCAGGCCCAGGCTCCTCCTCTGACAGACAGACAGACCCAGCGCCTCATACCTGCGCCAGACCCCACCTCCTCCTCAGACAGACAGACCCAGCGCCTCATACCTGCGCCAGGCCCAGGCTCCTCCTCTGACAAACACAGACCCAGGGCCTCATACCTGCGCCAGGCCCAGGCTCCTCCTCAGACAGACAGACCCCGCGCCTCATACCTGCGCCATGCCCAGGATCCTCCTCTGACAGACAGACAGACCCAGCGCCTCGTACCTGTGCCAGGCCCCACCTCCTCCTCAGACAGACAGACCCACCGCCTCATACCTGCGCCAGGCCCAGGCTCCTCCTCAGACAGACAGACCCAGCGCCTCACACCTGCACCATGCCCAGGATCCTCCTCTGACAGACAGACCCAGCGCCTCATACCTGCACCAGGCCCCACCTCCTCCTCAGACAGACAGACCCAGCGCCTCATACCTGCACCATGCCCAGGATCCTCCTCTGACAGACAGACCCAGTGCCTCATACCTGCGCCAGACCCCACTTCCTCCTCAGACCCAGCGCCTCATACCTGCACCATGCCCAGGATCCTCCTCTGACAGACAGACCCAGCGCCTCGTACCTGCGCCAGGCCCCACCTCCTCCTCAGACAGACAGACCCAGCGCCTCATACCTGTGCCAGGCCTGGCCTCCTCCTCAGACAGACCCACTGCCTCATACCTGTGCCAGACCTGGCCTCCTCAGACACAGACCCAGCGCCTCATACCTGGTACCAGGCCCAGTTTCTTCAGAGACCCAGTGCCTCATACCTGTGCCAGGACTGGTTTCCTCAGAAACAGACCCAGTGCTTCATACCTGGTACCAGGACCCACTTCCTCAGACACCAACAGACCGGCATCTCATACCTTGCCAGGTCCAGCCCCCTCAGACACTGATAGATCCAGTGCTTCATACCTGTGCCCAAGCGTCTTCGATACTGACAGACCTAGTACCTCATACCTAAATCCAGCCTTTCTAAACACTGAAAGACCCAGCATCTTGTACCTGCAACTAGCCCACCTACCTGGATGCTAACAGGTCAGAATCTAGCTGTGCCTGGCCTGGCCTCCTTGGGCAGTGATAGACCCAGCACCTCATACCTGTGCCAGGCCCTGTATCCTCAGACTATCGACCCAATGCCCCATACTTGTGCCCAAGCACACTTCCTCAAACAAGAAAAGATCCAGCACCTTCTACCTGGGTCTTAGCCCTGCCTCCTCAGATACCAATAAACCTGGGTTTGGCCTTGCCCAAGGCAGACCCAATGCCTCCCGGGACAGTGACAGTGACAGGCCCAAGGCTCATACCTGATAAATCTCAGCCTCAGCCCCAAGACCTACCTAGTCACGCTTGCAGACTTCACTCTGTATCACCTAAATCCTCAGAGATCCATTCACATCCTTCTAACAGCTTTTTATGGAGCACCTACCACATTCCCAGCACAGGCAACAGAAGCAGCCCATGGGGGCTCCCCAGAGACGTAAATAATCATGCCAATAATGAAATACAAGTGCTTGGGAGAATGGAAATACAGCAGTGAAATCAATTATAAAAGGAATCTGAGGAGTGCTTGAGCTTGGATCTAAAGAATGAGCAGGCATTACCCAGGAAAGCACTGAGCAGGGAGAAGCATTCCAGCGGCCAGTACAGCATATGCAAAGGTCCTATGGCAAGAGCAGCCTTTCTCAACAGTGAGAGAATTAAGCCCCACAGAAAATACTTTCAGGGTGCCTCGGTGGCTCAGTCGTTAAGCGTCTGCCTTCAGCTCAGGTCACGATCCCGGGGTCCTGGGATCGAGCCCCACATTGGGCTCCTCGCTCAGCGGAAAGCCTGCTTCTCCCTCTCCCACTCCCCCTGCTTTTGTTCCCTCTTTCCCTCTCTCGCTGTGTCTCTCTCTGTCAAATAAATAAATAAAATCTTCAAAAAAAAAAAAAAAAAGAAAATACTTTCAATGACTTCACTTCTCAATTCTCCCAAGGATGGTCCAAGGCTAGTACCCTCCTAGAAGCAAGGAAGAGATGCTAATTCATGATATCCATTGGATGTCTTGGGGCATGAAGGCTTAATTCTCTACCGGAAGCCTGTTGAGACAGGTTGGGCAAGAGGAACCACAGCACATTCTAGATGAAGGAAGGGGCGGGAGCTGGAGGGTTGAAGCTGAGAGGCAATGCTGGAGGATGAAGCAGGGATCCCCAGTGGTCATCAGGAACACGATTCTACCCTGGATGGGGAAGGCAGAGGACTGATTCAAGAGCTTCAATCAAACAGGATGAGTTGAAAGAACGAGAGAATTAAGTGTGGCCCAGAGGTTTCTGGCTTGGGTAATGAGATGAATGGTGGGGCCCTTCACCTGGAAAGAGTCCAGGTTTGGGGGAACCTTACCAGACAAGACACAGTCCCAGGAGCCACACCACGCCTGACACAGGCTCTCAGATCTCACTGAACAGACTCAGTTCTAGAAACTGGACTGCCAAGATGTTGATTTTGGCTGCCCCAGGTCATCAGACCTCACTTTTGGAAGCCCAGCAATGCCAGCGTCTGATCTGAGCCTCTGACACCTCCGCCTACAGACAACGATCTCTAGAGTTCACTTCACCCACGGTGGCCCTTTCAGATCGCACCTCACAGATGTAGCTCATCAATTCAGCATTCTGTGCCTCCTCTGCTCTGGCCCCAGACCTCACTTGATCTAACCAGTTATAACCTACTTTTTTCCCTCCTGAGTAACTCAGACCCTATGCCAATCAGACCCCAATGTTACAGACCACACCTTGGCCTGGCTATAGGCAATACCATGAGCTCTGCCCATCATGCCTAACCAGGGTACTGAGAACAGGAGTTCTGGCTCAAGGCATTCTATCTGTCCTACGTGATCCTAAGGGTTCCTGAGACCTCCCCAGGCCGACCTGGGTACACATACCTACGATGACTCTGGCTTTCCCTTGAGGAGAGCCCATACCTGATCCTACCACCAAGGATCCCACCTACACCTGACCCACGTTCTCAGGCCTCACCAGCCACACCAGTTATGCATTCCTGGGCTAGAGCATGCCTACTCATTTCATCTAACAAGCCCAGGGATGCCACTTGTCCCTGAACCCAGGGGACAAGAACCCATCTAAGATCACATTTATATACCTCTGTCCATGTGACTCTACATCCATGGACTCAAGACAAAGCCAACATGGATGGATGGATACAATGGCCTTGTCTACGAGGTCAGCTCTGCCTACCTGGGTCCTCCTCCAGCACACATACTGCAAGGTCACACCCTGTCGGAGCCAGGCTCCACGCAGCTGCACGGATGCACCCGGCTCCACAGATCCCAGTCTGTGCCTGATCCTGACTCCTCACATCTCAACCGACAGACCCAGGTCCACCTTCCCAAGCCTACCTCAGACTCCTCACACCTTCCCGAGAGACCCAGCTCTGTCTCAACAGGCCTGACCTCAACTCCCCCAGGCCTAACTTGAAAAAACTGGCTCTCTATCCTTATCTGACCTGGCTCTTCACATCTTGCAGACAGATCCAAAGCTAACCGCAGCTGTTTGACCTGGCACCAACACCTCACTGACGAGCCTCAGCTCATCAGATACAAGTATCTCTGCAGACCTATGCTCTAGAGAACCCCCCAACCCCATGAGACGTGGTTCTCCCTCCCTGTGAGTAACCCATGCTCTCCAAGCCTCCCCTCTTACTTTAAGACCGGGGTCAGCACACCTGAGACAGAACCATGTTCCAAGGACTTCACCAACGAGACCCACGTAGATCTCTCTGGCTCCAAAGTCTGTGCTTGAGAGAGCCAAGTCCACCTACTGACGTCTAACTTAGGGCTCGCAGACCTCTGAGCCCCATGGTGGTCTGCCTACCTAAAGACTGCGGGACTCACCTGTGGCCACTCCACCCACCCAGGTTTAACCTTCCTTCTTCAGGCCTCCCCACAAAGATCCCAAGGTGCATACCCTTGCCTGAATCCAACACCTGAAAGTCAATCTACCTACCTCACTGACCTCCTCAGACCACACCTGGCAGGCCAACCCTGCCTATCTATGCTGGACCTTAGTTCCTCAGTTCAGCCCCCAACTCTTCAGGCCTCCTCAAGACATTACACTTGGCAGATGGGCTTTGCCCTCCTGCTTCTGACCCTGGCTCCTTAGACCACATCTGTCAGGCCAGCTCTACCGACCTGTGCTTGACCCTGGGTCCCGAGACCACACCTGGCAGGGTGGTTCGGCCAACCATACATGCCTGTGGCTCCTAACACTGCGGCTCCTGGGCCGGCTCTCCCGACCTGCACAGGACCCCGGCTCCTTATACTGTACCCAGCAGGCCAGTTCGCCCACCCGTGTTTGCCCCTGGCGCTTCAGGCCACGCCTGGTGGGCCAGTTCTGCCTACCTGTGCTCCACCTTGGCTCCTCAGACCACAGCTGGTGGGCCAGTTCTACCTACCTGTGCTTGACCCTGGTCCTTAGACCATACCTACAGGGCCACTTCTACTTACCTGTGCTTGACTCTGGGTGCTCAAACCACACCTGGCTGGCCATATCTACCTACCTGTCTCTGACCCCAGCTCCTCTAACCCTATCTGGTGGGCCAGCTCTGCCTACCTGTGCTTGACCTTGGCTCCTCA